TAGATACAGTGCCAAAAAGAAGAGGACACAACAAGGGGATAAAGACAGAGGTAAAGTGATGTAATGAATGAACAGTTTATCTAATTGCATAGTAGTAAGATACTATAATTTAATGGCAGTTATTTTTACCTTATAACTTTATGCTAACAGTAGTTCTGAGTTCTTCAGAGCCCCCAGACAATGCGATTTGTAACAATCATGTCAGTCTTATTTAGACACATTTACTATCACTTTTAGTATTTAATGTTTTACTTTACAGTTGTGCAGGTTTAAGGGGGATATATGGCTTTTTTTTTTCTTTTTTTGCCAAAATTATTAACAATATTTGTAGGCTACAGGTTTATTATGTTTTATGTAAAATTCACATTAAAGACATTTCGCAGTTTCATTCATGTTGAAAACACGAACCGTGCCATAATTTAGTGGAAGATTGCTGCCATCAATTCCCAAACAAACACTTTTGCTAGTGCTTAATGAATAGTTTGCGCATGAATGACATTTGGACGATGACATCACTGTTTTATCCAGAGCGGCTATATATAAATTAGATAAATTAATATTTTTTTACAACAAAATAAACCGTCACTGAACATACTTAAGCTTGATTATGAGACTATTTTCTTCTAGATCTGCTGTACAGGAGAAGCAAACTTTGTTGCATTATTTTCCTGTTATCACTGTAAAGCTGCCTTGAAATAATCTGTATTGTAGGCTAAAAAGCGCTATATAAAAATAAAGGGGACTTGACTTGAATGCTAGATGTAATTGTCACGGGCCGGACAAACGACCACCACTCCGGAGGAGCTAACACCAGAGAACACCACAAGGCCGGACACAAAGTAAAGTAAGTAATTTGTCTTTATTATATCTTAAAACGTAAGTAAAAAGGGCATCAGCCTGGAGGCTAAAACTTGTTCCACTCTTTCAGTCAACCGTGGGACTCAAACTGCTCAACGCCCATGGGTCCTCGGTCGGGTGACTTTCTCTGTCCCCCCAGGACAGCAATGGCAGAATGCAGCGGCGGACGGCAGGCTTCCTCTGTTCATAGAACAACAATGGTGAGTACAGAATCCAGCAGTTAATAACTGAGTCTCCTTTTACCACAGGACAGCAATGGCAGAATGCAGCGGCGGACGACAGGCTTCCTCTGTTCATAGAACAACAATGGTGAATACAGAATCCAGCAGTTAATATTATTTCCTGACGCATCACCAGGCTAGACGATCCCGGACAAAGGTTTCAGAGTGCTGGTAGCATTTAATCTCCCCAAACTCGTGCATGCATCAAAACCACTGTAAATCTTCACACGTGCTCAGTTCAATCTTCAGACACTGCAATGACACACCACTTCACAGTGAAAAGTGTACCTTCACTCCACCTCGTCGGGGCCGGCCAATCCACCATCGTGATCTTCAGAAGCGGGACATCAACGTGCATATCCAACAATGCTTTCACTCGTTTCGTCCTCGATCTCACTCATGCCTAGTGATGTTACGTCTGACACCGATGCTCCGAAGCTTGCTTCAAACTCGAACGGTCCTTGCAATGAACCACTGCTTCGGAGCTTGTATCATTACGTCATTAGTCACGTGAAAATGACGTCTGAAGCAAACACACTGCTTCACTCCTGTAGTGAACCACCTGACTGCTTTGACAGCCCAATCCAGTGTTGACAGGTTTGAAACCTGGCGGCTGTATTTCTTATAAAAGTGAAGCCAAACCATGGCAACACCGTGGGTTGTAGTAGTCGGTGTTTGGATTGGTGTTATTGTTGAGGAGAGTGGATTGAGTTTATGGTTTACTAGGCCACCCACAAAGCAATATATCCTCATTTATACCAGCTTTCTAAACTGTTTTTGTGTACTGCATCATCTGTTCCATGCGAGAGGATATTCTCTAAAGCTGGTGAAATTGTTTAAAAAAAAAGAAATCGCCTTTCACCAAAGACTGTGGAGAAAATAATATTTCTGAATAAAAACCATACCATTTAATGAACACTTTGTATAAGCCTTCTGTATGATGTAGCCTACCTAAAGCACACCTTCTGACACATTTTATTATTATTAATTTGAGAACATATGAACAGTGTTACATAAAAATATGCATCAAAGACAGAAACTTCAAAAACTCTCTGCTACATTATACAAGCACAACCAGTTACACAAGCACATCCTTTTCAACATACAAAAATAACAGTCAGTTAACAAGTTATAGAGTTCTGCTTCCCACAGCTAAACAAGATAAAGCTTTTTCACACATGATAGGCTACTGCCCTGCTAAAAAAAACTATAGACACCATTACAGAAATTCTATTGGATTTAATGGTTTTCATGGGAATTTTATTGGTTATAATGGAAATTATAGCGGTGTCTGTGGGTCTCTACTGATTATGTGTTGGGTTCTATTGGTGGGGGCATTAAATCCTAATGGAATATGTGCCAAACATACTACAAAAATAATTCTGTAGTGGTTTAAATGGTAAAAGCCAGTTTAATAGAAACCATTAGAATTTCTGTGATGGTTTCCAACTTTTTTTAAGCTGGTCTGATCTTCTGTCCTTGTCTAAAGAAATAATTACACACACACACACACACACATCATGTTTTATTATCAAGGTGAACACATGAAATTCATCAGTGTCTGTAAACTTCACCTACATAAATGAGTTTCACAGCACTAACACTGTTTCAGCTTTGATCGCCTCGGTAAACACGTCATAAACGGGGCGTTAACATAAGCCTACTGGCATTTTATGGTTGTCAGCTTTGTTGCATTACATTTACTTCACCAGGAGATGGTGCTGCAATTTCTATCTGAATGAAGCTTCGAGTAATGAACCATTTTCGACACAATTGTATCGGAAAGCAATAATGCTTCGAAACGCTTCATTTGGCCATCACTACTCATGCCCGCACTTTATCCTTCCCATCTCGGCCACCGTTGCTGCCCCACGCCTGGATCGCGACCGCTCTCGTCTAGCCTCTTCAAGCCGCCGCTTTTAAATCCCCCGTTGGAGACACGCGCTCCAATGGCTGCTTGATTACCCGCTGCAGCTGCCGCTTGTCAACACCATAGATATCTATATAAAGGCTAGATGTCTTACGGCGGAGTCACTTCCGGCATCACCGTTCGGCCATCTTGTCACAGGCAGGCTCTGATGTAAAGTGAGTGATCAGCGTGAACACAAATCCTCTTATCTCGCTGAAATCTTGACGGATTTACAAACGGTTTGGTTTCTTATTAACGTTATTAATGTGGGTATAATACTAGCCTATATAATGGATGTTAACATAAATAATACATAATTATCCATAAGTGTTCAGTGTCATAACTACGTCTCTGACGTTTATAACGAACCAACCCGTTTGAAAATCGGTAGAAAATTGAGCAAGTTATGGTTATTTAAAAAGTACATGCACCATAAACACAATGTTACGAGTGAGCGAGCAGCCTGTGACAAGATGGCCGCCAGGTGCTGATGTCCACCACCATTGGCCAACAGCGCGGACGAGACATCTAGCCTTTATATAGATATCTATGGTCAACACAACCGGCCTGGAGTCGCACCGGAAGTCTCCCCCAAGGGAACCATGCGCCGAATTTTTTGTTCCGCCTTCGTCACCCGGTGACATAATGCTCTTGCTATATATATATATATATATATATATATATATATATATATATATTGACTAAATAATCACCAACACAATGATGGGGTGAAATGGGCTGTAATGCATGGGGCACCAGGTAAAATCTTGCCTAGGGCAGCAAATTGGTCAGGGCCGGCCCTGGTAAATGGGACGCGCGTGCACGCTCATTCTCTATTACCATAAATCCCGCCCATTAAATCCGACTGACAACTATATATGGGCATCATATTATGACACCAAACGAAGGATTTTAACATGTCTTCTCAAAAGCGAATGAAAAAGAAAAATTTCTCAGATGCAGAAATCGAAGTTTTATTATCAGAAGTTCATTCAAAACACCACGACTGCGTCCCAATTCGCCTACTTATACTACGCCCTAAAAGTATGTACTCTTTTTGTGAAGAAAAAGTACATACTTTTCAGTGTGTAGCAAAAGAGTAGGCAAGCTTTGGGACATACTACTTCGTCATCTTTAACGGACAGCTCAATCCCGAGCATCCTGTCACCGTAAACTGCCCTGTCAATCATCTCGTCACAGTTAAAATCCTCCATTCAATCTAATTTAATTTCTTACTGTTTCGGAGAGAAATGTTGTAGCACATTCAACTGCCAGTCGTGAGTCTTTCATGCCGAGACTCTCCTCATGTGTTTGCAATTTGAATGTAATGATGCATTTAAAAGTTAATGGCTAAACGCTTTACAAAAGTTCACAATGCTGCTGCAGATGCAATATAATGTAGACAATATTGAATAAATACATTTTCGTCAGGTTAGATACTGATAATTAATCACTCTAACCCCTTTATCTAAACCACTCTACATAACCGCCGGACTCGCGCGCGTTCTCCATGTCTGTAGTTTTTAAACACTTTTCACTCGTGTTTGTAGTTCTAACCGAATCCTCGTCCAACGCGCGATGGGTTGTGGGCAATATCAGCCGTTAGAGTGTGCAACGATCTGCACTTCGGATTCTGACCGGATATAGTAGACCATCCGGGTCTCTTTGGGACACATCCGGGTCTCTTACTCCGTTGCTCCGGCGAATTACTTCATTAATCCTTGTTTTTCTGCTTTACCACGCATTTATAAGCAAGCACTTTCTATTTTTATATCATGTGAACTTATCCACGAAACTATTCCTTATAAAAAACAATTAGATTGCTTTGATATCGCTACTTATATCCAACCTTTCGATTCTCGGCTACTAGCCTTTAGCCCGCTAACATTTCACGCGTGGCCTCGGCCGTCTAATATTACACCCTTTCACTGAAAGGACACGGGTTATATTTGACATTGCAGTCCTAAATTAGTACTGATAGTTGTAGTATCACTTACAGCTCATTTGTTATAATGGCGAACATATCGGATGCGTGTCTAACTTTACCTCTGAGTGCAGGTGAGGACACTTTCGAGCTATTCTCGGTGAATCTGGAGCTGGAATCCGTGGAGAAACAGATCCGTGGTCTGCTGGAAAAGCAAGCCGAGCTGTTGGATCGGCGATCAGCACTTGAAGCAGCACGCGCCGATGCTCACAAGTTAGTGGTTAGTAACTCTTTAACTCCGAGTTCGTCTACTCCGTGTGTTTCTCTGTCCAGAAGGACGCGATCATCTCGGGCTTCATTTACTCCGGCACCGACACAACACAATGGACCATGGATCACGCAGCGGAAGACGCGAGCCAGGACCAGAGCTACTCCTCCGCCCCTCCCGGTCTTCGAGATCTCCACTCGGAACCGCTTCTCCCCTCTTCGCGAGTCGAAACGCGACGACGCCGTGATCATCGGCACGTCCATGGTCCGCCATGTCCGTGCAACCTCAGGTAAAGGTAAGGTGCGCTCTCACTGCTTTCCTGGTGCTCGTGTTCTTGATATCGCTGCACAGGTTCCCGAAATCCTGACCGGGGACGAGCGCGTCGGAGCTGTGGTGCTGCATGCGGGAGGGAGCGACGTCAGGCTGCGGCAGACGGAGGTTCTGAAGAGGGACTACATGAGCCTGATCGAGGCGGTACGCAACACAGCGCCTGAGGCAACGATCATCGTGTCTGGACCGCTTCCCACGTACCGACAAGGACAGGAAAGGTTCAGTAGACTATTTGCACTAAATGAATGGTTAATGTCACTGTGTAATGAACAGAAACTGCTCTTTGTAAATAATTGGAATCTGTTTTGGGAGCGACCCAGGCTGTACCGTGCTGATGGCCTGCACCCCAGCAGAGCCGGAGCGGCTGTTCTGTCGGATAATATCTCCAAGACGTTACGCACCAGATGACTAATAAGACAAAATCCAAATCACAGTCTTTGCTGTCCAAACTTAATTGATATACGTAGTGAAGAACATTATATAGAAACTGTGTCTATTCCTCGTTTAGTGAAGCCAAACAATAAATCTAGTGCAGGATCTAGCAAAAATCTTATTGTAATTAAACCAGAAAATCTAAATATCAGTGAACAAAAAGAATTTCTAAAGCTAGGTCTTCTAAACATTAGATCGCTCACACCTAAGGCGGTTATTGTAAATGAAATGGTCACAGATAATAATTTCGATATACTTTGCCTTACTGAAACCTGGCTTAAACCAAATGAGTATTTCGGTCTAAATGAGTCTACTCCGCCAAGATACTGTTATAAGCATGAGCCCCGTCTGATCGGTCGTGGCGGCGGTGTTGCAACAATCTATAAAGATATTCTTAATGTTTCTCAGAAAACAGGTCACAGATTTAATTCGTTTGAAGTACTTATGCTAAATGTTACGCTCTTAGATGTAAGAAAGAAATCCATATTATCTCTAGCCTTGGCTACTGTATATAGACCTCCAGGGCCATATGCTGAATTTCTAAAAGAGTTTGCAGACTTTCTCTCGGATCTATTGGTCAATGTCGATAAAGCAATAATTGTTGGAGATTTTAACATACACGTAGACAATAAAAATGATGCGTTAGGGGCTGCGTTTACAGATTTATTAAACTCCTTTGGGGTCAAGCAAAACGTCCGTGGTCCCACTCATCGTCTAAATCATACACTAGATTTAATTATATCATACGGAACCAATCCAACTGATATAGATATTATACCGCAAAGTGATGATGTCACTGATCATTACATGGTAACGTGCATAATACGTACTGCTGAAATATGTCATGTTGCGCCACGTTATAGACCAGGCAGAACAATCCTTCCAATCACTATAGATAGATTCTCAAATAGCTTACCTGATCTATCTCAGCTGCTTAGTGAACCCAAACAAACAGATGAACTAGAGGAAATGACTAGCAGTTTGAGCACCATTTTCACTAGTACATTAGATATTGTTGCACCAATTAGATTAAAAAAGGTTAAAGAGAAAACTAAAGCACCCTGGTACAACAGTGCTACGCATGATATCAAGAGAGAAACTCGTAACCTAGAGCGTAAATGGAAACAAACTAATTTAGAGGTCTTTAGAATCGCGTGGAAAGACAGTATGTCACGTTATAAAAAGGCTCTAAAAACAGCCAGGGCTGAGCACCTCCGCAAACTAATAGAAAATAACCAAAATAATCCAAGGTTCTTATTTAACACCGTGGCTAGACTAACAAATAAACAGACATCACCAGAGCAAAATATACCGTTACAGTTTAGTAGTAATGATTTTATGAATTATTTCAATGAGAAAATAGAAAGCATTCGAAACACAATTGTAAATGTACAATCCTCTATGGTCTCTTATGCTTCAACCTCAATTATGGCCCCTCTAGAACAACTACACCGCTTTGCAACGATAGGACAGGAAGAGCTAAATAAACTTATTATTGCATCTAAACCAACAACATGTTTATTAGATCCAATACCCACTAAACTACTGAAAGAAGTGTTACCTGTAGTGGAAGAGCCTCTTCTCAATATTATTAACTCGTCTTTATTCTTAGGTCATGTTCCAAGAATATTCAAGTTGGCAGTAATAAAACCTCTCATTAAGAAACCGCAATTAGATCCAAATAACCTAGCAAATTACAGACCCATTTCAAATCTTCCATTTATGTCCAAAATACTAGAAAAAGTTGTATCCGCTCAACTGTGCTCTTTTTTGCAAGAAAATGATATCTATGAAAAATTCCAGTCAGGATTCAGACCGCATCATAGTACAGAAACTGCGCTAGTTAAAATTACAAATGATCTACTCTTAGCTTCTGACCAAGGCTGTATCTCAATACTAGTCCTACTTGATCTTAGCGCCGCGTTCGACACTATAGATCATAAAATACTCTTGGATCGACTACAAAACTACACTGGTGTTCAGGGACAGGCATTAAGCTGGTTTAGATCGTACTTATCTGACCGTTATCATTTTGTCTCTTTACACGGGGGAAAATCAAAGTTAACGTCAGTAGACTACGGAGTACCGCAAGGATCGGTGCTAGGCCCTCTGCTATTCTCAATATATATGCTGCCACTTGGTAATATTATAAGAAAACATGGAATTAATTTCCACTGTTATGCTGACGACACTCAATTATATATTTCATCACGACCAGATGAAAACATTACCTCATCTAAATTGACAGAATGTCTCAAAGATATAAAATGCTGGATGACGCGTAATTTCCTGCTATTAAATTCAGATAAAACGGAGGTATTACTTATTGGTCCAAAAAACTACACACAAAACCTCTTACAATACGACTTTAATATAGAAGGATGTCCTGTTACTTTTTCCACTACAGTAAAAGACCTGGGTGTTATACTAGACCGCAACTTGTCTTTCGAAAATCATATTTCATATGTTACAAGAACAGCCTTTTTCCACCTTAGAAACATTGCTAAATTACGTAACATGCTATCTGTTTCTGATGCAGAAAAGTTAGTTCATGCATTCATGACCTCGAGACTAGATTACTGTAATGCTTTATTAGCTGGTTGTCCTGCATCTTCAATAAACAAGCTACAGTTAGTCCAAAATGCAGCCGCTAGAGTTCTTACTAGATCAAGAAAATATGATCATATAACACCGATTTTATCATCTCTGCACTGGTTACCTATTAAGTTCCGTATCAATTACAAAGTACTACTACTGACCTATAAAGCCCTTAATGGTTTAGCTCCTATGTACTTAACGGACCTTCTTTCGCCCTACAATCCACCGCGTTCTCTAAGATCACTAAATTCAAGGCTTCTGGTCATTCCTAGGATATCGAAGTCCACGAAAGGAGGGAGGGCATTCTCGCATTTAGCTCCAAAACTCTGGAATAGCCTTCCCGATACGGTCCGATGCTCTGACTCGCTGACACAGTTTAAAACTAGACTAAAGACGTGTCTCTTTAGTCAAGCATTCACATAATGCTTACCTTTTAGTCCTCTGCTATGCCATACGGAACCGTTTGCCACTGAAACTGCTTAACGCACCAGTGGGGCTCGACAGCCTTATAGACAAACGGGTCGGTCCGTATGGTTGCGGTTGGGTTGCGGAGAGTTTGGGTTGCGGAGAGTTGTGAGATTATGGTTTTCTAACACCTACTCCCGTGTAATGGAAATCATTATGAACATCAGCTATGCTAATTATTTCCCATCTGCCTTTCTGCTGTTATCTCGGGACGCTTGTCCCGAGAAAAATGGCGTTCGTAGGCTCCAGTTTTGTATCCTGCCTCTCACGGGGATTTCGGATGCCCCAATGCCTGTGATGAGAAGACCAACGCCTGTGAAGAGACGACTCAACGCCTGCGAAGAGACGACTCAACGCCGGCGATATGTTATCCCCTTAATATTACATGATTAACTAAATGTATTTTTTCCAGGTACTTTCTGATATGCACTTACTGTAAAGCTTCTTTGAAACCCTATGATTGTTAGCCAGAGGAGAACTGGCCCCTGACTAGCCTGGGTTCTCCCAAGGTTTTTTTCTCCATCCAATCTGATGGAGTTTTGGTTCCTTGCCACTGTCGCCTTGCTTTTGGCTTGCTTAGTTGGGGATATTTAATATTCAACAATATTATTGAACTGTGTTGTACTACTTTCATGTTATCACTGTGAAGCTGCTTTGATGCAATCTGTATTGTGAAAAGCGCTATATAAATAAATGTGACTTGACTTGACTTGACACTCATTTCAACATACTACGATTTGGGACGTAGGCTACTAATTCTATTTTCGAATAGGCCTACTATTTAGGACGGATAGTATGCGAATTGGTACGCAGCACACGTTTTATTTTAAAGCGTAGGTGGCGTATCAGGTCCTAAAAAAAGGAAACTTGGCAGCATATTACAGATGCAGTTAATGGAGTTTCATCTGTTAATCAAACTGTCCAAAAAGTAAAAAGATAAACCGTATGTAATTACTATATATAATATTTTTTCAAAATGCTGTGTAAATATGTACCCGATTAAGGTGAATTAAAATGCAGCCTTAGTTATTAATGAGCAAAACGTTCGGATGTTAAACGCACTATTTACGCGTGGCTGGGAGCAGGTGTAGATTTCTTTCGTATCAACTAACATTTGGAAAATACGAACATTTTAATGAATCCGAAAATTTACACCAGAACCACTTTACACACGATTTACACAAAAATTTGTTCTGCTCGTGTTTCATGAATGAGACCCAGTGAACGCATTCAGGCACACCACTGTGTATATTAGATACCTGATAAGAGCTGTGAAAAATAATCAAATAATCTAGGAATAAATGACATAAATGCACTTAAATCATAATCTTACAGCAGATGTCATTCACATTTTTACTATTAACAAGAGGATCTGATATCTTATAAACAAATGTCTCTTGTTTTCTGATATTAAATCAGGGTTCACTTGAAAATTCACATTTATCCCTCCAGAACTCATTCTAACAACTTAATATGCTTTATTATATTTTTATTTCAGACCAGATGGAGGTCAAAGAGAGAAGACAAGAACTGAAGTTAAAGGTTATGATGCTGTAGTTTGTTTCAGCCTGTTGACACCAATAAAACGATTTAATGTGCCAATTTACAGAAGATCTCAGACATCACCATAATGAATGAGCTGAAAACAGGGAACTTTTGGAGACAAAGAGGTTTTTCAGCTGCTCAGTTAAACATGATGACCCTGTACTTTTTAAATGCAGATTGGATAAAAACACAGTGATCACAGTTCACACCTGCAGTGAAGCCCCTCCCACAACAATTCACCAATAAATACTGGGAATATTCCCATCATCCTACAAGAGAAGGACAAACTCCAGGAGTAGCAGCTGAAATCTGTGTGACTGTTAAAGATGGAGTTTATTAAAGAGGAGATTGAAGACATGAGTGATCCAGAACCATCCAGAATAAAACATGAAGATACTGAGGAACAAATAGGTTGGTGTCCATTCTTGATTCTTCATTGTTGATGCTTTGGTAGATGTGAATTATTAAGCAGTATATGGATGATAGAGAAATGCATCTAAATGATCATAGCAGTTGTCAAACAAATTTTAACTATGTTAACAAGTGAATGACAGAATAACAAGTGAAATATCTGATCTCTGTTGTTTTCTGCTATTAAATAAGGGTTCACTTGAACTGATTCTAACTGTATTTCTGTGTATTTTAGACCAGGTGAGAGTGAAAGAGCAAAGACAAGAACTGAATGAAGTGGAGGAGGAACATCGTAACTTTACAATTCAAAGAACAAAAGCCAAAAAGACACACACCTGCACTCAGTGTGGAAAGAGTTTCACACAGAAAGGACACCTTAACATACACATGAGAATTCACACTGGAGAGAAACCGTATACATGCACTCAGTGTGGAAAGAGTTTTTCTCAAGCATCAGGTCTCAGTGTTCATCTGCGCATTCACTCTGGAGAAAAGCCATTTAACTGTGATCAGTGTGGTAAAGATTTTATTTCATCAGCAAATCTAAAATCACACCTGAAAGTTCATTCAGATGAGAAGCCTTATGTGTGTTCTCACTGTGGAAAGAGTTTTTCACGACCAAACGGTTTTAAACGGCACCAGAAAACACACAGTGAAGTGAGAGATCATGTGTGTTGTGACTGTGAGAAGAGCTTTACTACATCTGGTGATCTGAAACTGCATCAACAAATTCATACTGGAGAAAAACCTTACAAGTGCTCATATTGTGACAAGAGTTTCACTCAGTCTACACACCTGAAATCACACGAGCGAGTTCATACTGGAGAGAAGCCGTACGACTGTACTCAGTGTGAGAAGAGTTTCTCCCACTCATGTAATCTAGTTAGGCATATTAGAAAGCATTGTTCTGTGTCACAGTGAGCAAATGTTTTGTTAGATTCACATAAAGTAAATGTGTAGTTAGTTAACCTGTTAAGCTTCAAGCCCACTTTTGAAAAATCCCCAGAAATGACATACCCAAACTAAAACAGATACAGTTCATGAACCCTTTGCACTAAAAGCACAAGTATGATCTCATTTGAAAGCTGACACTTGGTTGTTTATTGTAAATGTAGAATTAATTATTGTCATAATGAAAAAAACAATTTTAAATAGCTTCAAAGTTTTGTAAAGTTATTAGAAATTTATTTTTATGAAACATCTTCATGAAAATAAAATTGAAGTTGGCCCTGGAGCAATCTAGAAATGCACTGCAGCTAAAGCCACATGTCTGACCATTTTATATTTAAAATCTGAAAATGATAAGTATAAAGCTCTGTATTTAGTTAAATGTTTTTCAAGATCATGTCAAATTACTTTATTTTGATTAGACTCTATTAGCAAACTGATGTTTAGTCATCTTCTGAGTCATCTATTCAGTCTATTGTCTCTATTGTTTTGTGGTGCCCCATTCAGTCTCAGTCTCCCCTGCACACATTTACACCTCTCCAGACTGGTTATTATGGCTCTAAATATGCATTTCTTTTGTCTGCATTATAGCTACTAACGACTGGCTATTCACAAGCTATTCATAAGGTTTCAAACCCTAATTTATTTTATCAAAGTTCTCACTAAATATTTGAAACTGGTATCAAATGCACTGAAACATTTCAGTAAGCATTCCTATTTAGAAAAAAATCATAAAACAATAACTGCTCGTGGCAGGTGCGCCTGGGCTCGCTAGCATGTTAGCTTAGCACACCATCAATACACGACCAATTATGAGATTAAAACTATGTTTGCGCTCCAAACTCACTATATAACGCAAGTCTAGTGTTTTAAATAATCTTCTGTGATCTAACTTGGCTTCAGATTAAAAAAAAATCAGACAGAAAATGTATTATTTAGTGTTCTGAACGATGATGAAATCTATATCGATTAGCATTACATTATAAATATAATCTATTATTATGAAATACCTGGCATGGCTTGAAGAACACAGGTAACTCAAATATCATTGCAATCATGTTTATTGTCTTCAAAACATCTTTATCTGCATGTTACAGCGATCTCTGTACTTTCTGTATCACTCAGTGACGTCCTGGAATGTCACATGACTATGGGTCTTCTTCATGATCCATATATGGACTTTTATTGGACATAATAGCGCCCCCATGCTATTGGTATGAATGGAAAACACAGCACATCTCAGTAAGAAGCGATCATTATGATTACATCGACGCATTTGGGTATAAATTCAATAAATATTATTCCTGTCTATAGAAATATGATGTGAATCTATGAGAATATATCAATATTTCTCCACATCTGCACATTGTTGAGCTAAAAGCCCTCAGGGACGTTGTTTTGTGAATCGCTATCATGACGACAGCACGGAGTGTTTTTTATGAATGGACCAGCTGACGCTCATAATTCATATTAAAGGTATCGACTCGTTTTTTTCATTTCATAACTCCTGACACAAATTAAGACATAACTGTCACTATAAGTTTCTCAGAATACAATAGTGGTCAAATACTGAATCTTGAGTCTTATATCTTTTTAATGATGTATAGTTTGTCAAGGTATAACATTAAATCTGATAGTATATTTGAACTAAATAAAAAAAAAAACGCTTCAGTGCGCCGACGCTCTGGAGAAGGTTAAGAGGTTAACTAATAAACTGTTGCTGCGAAATTCCACAAGATTTGTGTTTTATATTTTGGTGAACAAGAATATTATTGAAAATTATTTTCATTGAACGCTTGCTCAAAGAAATGCCAAAATTAAAAGAGACTGGAAACAAATGTAGAAAAACAACAACAATCAGTTATTGTCAATATATAAAACAATTACCTGAATTTGATCAGGTGTTTTTTGTTTTTACTGTTGTTGTTTCATAAAGCCTGTTAATACATATACAGATGTATGTATAATAACTGTACAATTCTCATACATTGATTCTTTGTTTATTTTAAACAGCAGTGTTACTCCCCTCGAGTTTTAATAAAGGCTCAAGTTATTCCTGGGTTTTAACGGGCATTTATTCGGTGACAGGCATGTCTTTACATGTTCACTTTTTGTATTTCCAAATTGCCGTCAGAACTGGTATATAAATAAAACACAGAAAACGTAAATGAACCTTAAATTCTTGACATACTTGCAGACAATACTAAACAGAATCATATAGAAACTAAGAAATAAAGTATACATTTATGCCATGTAAAATAATATCTTAATTGGCTTGTTACGTTATTTCAAATGTAGGCGCATGGGAAGCACGCTCATAATTGAAGCGACGCGCTCATTTTTTCCAGGAGCAGCGAGATGAACATTTTTAATCTTTTCAGTATGGGGGTGCACCCAAACACGTGGGTGTTTTTCTCTTCTCCGTAAATAAATCTTTTAGCAGAGCTACAGCAAGCGTTTTTCTGTGGTGGAAATCCATTAGCTACTAAAACTTCTTTGTCGTTGTGGAGAGCGCAGTGCATGGTTGTATAGCAACAACAGCCATGGGAAAATCGGACCGAATTTTACTATTAATAATAAAAAATAAGCTACTGTGCATTATAAATGTCAGGAATTTATCTTTATTGACCCATTCTTTTTATAAAGATGATTTAAAGGCTGAAATATGTGAGGTTTATCTTTTTATAAAACCTTTTTTGTCAAAAGTTTATTTGAACGTGTACATGTTATTAGATAACATAAAACACACTCCTTTAAAATTTGGCCATCATCTTTAATGTTATTAACTTGGTGAATAGATTTCATTGTGTATTCGGCCTACTTTTTGAACAAGATTCTGTGTTTAACCGTGATCATTTTGGTCACTATATTCATGAAATGAAAATAATTTTCATAATGATCAACTAAAATCAACTATAATTATGTGTTTTTACAGTAGCCTATAATATGCAAAGTACAATTTTCTATTAAAAAATAATATCTGATTCTGTCCTTTTCTCTGACATTTAAGGCCTAAGCTATTTTAGGTCTAAAACAGTTTGGATAGTTTCACTTTTAGTTTTTCACTTTCACTTTTAAAAACTCTATTTCGTGACAAAGTATAGTTTAACAAGTCATAACTAAAAGTGTGCCATGCATAGAATTCGAGGCAGTAACCAATGAGCTAATGGATCCTCCCTAAAAGTTAGATTAATATAGCAAAATAACTGGATTTTCTTACTGTTTTTTTTTCTTCAAATGAACGGTGTGTGATTTTATTGTTGTTGTTTTTTTTCTTGGGGGGGTGGGGCGCTGCGCTCGAAGGGGGTCTCGCCCAGGGTGTAATTCAATGTAGAACCGCCACTGCTGGATAGAGTCTGTTTCGAGGCGGCCAACCCTTTGATGCGCCCACCGAACGAAAACAAAAAGCTGCTCGGATCGTCTGACCGGAGCAGTGCGAGTAATTTATAATCTCAGGGCCCTGACCGGACACAGGAGATTAGAGTCAGATTCGCTATCGGATGCAGGCAGAGCCGATAGGGAAATAACTTGTGCCCTGAACGGGGTACCAATCGCTTTTGGGACATAACCATGTCTAGGTTTGAGAACGACTAAGGAGTCATTGGGCCCAAACTCGAGACAGGAAGCGCTAATGGATAGCACGTGAAGGTCTCCCACACGCTTCACTGACGCGAGCGCGAGCAGAAAAACGGTTTTGAGCGAAAGGTATCTGAGGTCCACGGTGTTTAGCGGTTCGAATGGGGGGGCTTTCATAGCTTCGAGAACTATGGAAAGGTCCCAAATCGGCACCGAAGGGGGGCGTGGGGGGTTCATCCTTCTAGCTCCCCTGAGGAAGCGAATGACCAAGCCATCTTTGCCCAGTGACTGGCCGCGCCTGGGTTCAACGAACGCTGTGACAGCTGCCACATGCACCTTGAGAGTGGACGGGGACCTGCCCTTGTCCAACATCTCTTGGAGAAAAACTAGCAAGGAAGGAATCTCGCATGACCGTGGGTCCAAATTTCTGTCGGTGCACCATTTAGAGAACACAGACCATTTAGACGCATAGAGCCTTCTAGTAGAAGCCGCTCTAGCCTGCATGATCGTGTTTAACACTCCCTCTGGCAAAGCAACGGGTAGTTGTTGATCACCCACGCATGTAGCGCCCAGCGCTCTGGGTGGGGATACCAGTTCGTGCCGCGAGCTTGGGAGAGGAGATCTGCTCTGACTGGAATGGGCCACGGAGCTTTCTGTGACAGCTGAGTGAGCTCCGGAAACCAAGTCTGACCCTCCCAACGCGGGGTTATGAGGAGCACTGAGTGGCGTGTTTCCCTGATTCTCTGAAGCACCTGCGGTAGCAGAGAAACCGAAGGGAATGCATAAAGCGGGCGGCTGGGCCAGGTCTGGGCTAGCGCGTCCTCGCTCTTTGAGAAAAATATTGGGCAGTGGGTGTTCTCTTCTGAGGCGAAGAGGTCCACCTCTGCTCTGCCGAATATTCGCCACAGCTTTTGGACTGTAAGAGTGTGCAGGGACCATTCCCCGGGGGGAATGGGGTTCCTGGACAGACTGTCTGGACCGTCGTTCAGATGGCCCAGCACGTGCGTGGCTCTGAGCGAGAGCAGGTGACACTGAGACCAAACTAAGATGCGTTCTGTCAGCCGGAAGAGATTCCTGGATCTGACTCCGCCCTGACGGTTTAGATAGGAGACCACGGCTATATTGTCCGAACAGATCAGCACGTGGTGACCGTGAATGTGCGGAAGAATGCGCGGAAGAAAGCGCGTGAGCGCGTTCTCGACCGCCAACATCTCCAAACAGTTTATGTGGAGGAGGCTCTCTCGAGCTGACCAGGGGCCGAAGGCCGGTGAGCCCTCGCAGACCGCACCCCAACCCGTGTTGGATGCGTCTGTCGAGATGACTTTTCGGCGAGAAAGGGTCCCCATGGAAACGCCCCGCTGAAACCATTCTGCCACAGTCCATGGCTGCAGAGCTGTGATACAGGTCTGCGTTACCTTTAACAGCTGGTGACCCGTGGT